AGCCCTTTCTATCTTTGTATGACACCCTGCATTTAGTGACGAAGAAAAATATACATGAAAATCAATGACTCTAATTTTTAAAAATTTTGCTTGTTACCTTAGGTATTACTTGCTGTGCTGCTTGGTGACGTCCGCTCGTATTGGAAGTTCGAGACGGAAAGGGATGACACCAGGTAGCAACAGGATAAATTTTAAGAAATATAAACTCTAGCAGGACTAGCTTTCGCTATTATCCTATGAATGTCACTACTATTAACATTTGGCTCACTACAGAACGAAGACCAGATTATTCTGGAGGAGCGAGATAAGAGAACAGTGGAAAAAGTAGGAAAAGTAGGAAGTATAAGGGAGCAAAATGGGCCCCTCCGCGCCCATTTCCGTGAGGTCCTGCCTCTCCTGAAGGGAGCTACGACCCCTCCGTGGCCCCATAGGGGACCGTGTTTTTTTTTTTTGAGGAAAACCCCCGAGTCCTGCGGCTTTCGCGCACAGGACTAGGGGGGAAAAACCTCAGGAAGGGAAGGAAATCGGGTCGAGGGACAAGAAAAACGCACAAAGGGGTAAGGTGAAGTTAAACGCGAAAAAGCTAAGATAAGTTAAACGCGAAAGGGACAAGTTAAACGCGAAAGGTCTACCCCTAGTCAAGATTCACCGCAACGAAAGACCGCGGGCGTAGCACCCAGCGATACCCTTGCGGGCACGCCGGGACATCCCGAAGGACGATATTTAACGCTACAACCTCCGTCCCTTCCCACGGGCGAGCCCAGTGGGTTAGACGTAAGGAACCACGCCCGCCGCCGGCGGCGGGCCCCGTTAGCCATCGATCCACGCGCAAAATGTCTCCGACAGAGGGTGACTTTATACTAGCGGGTGCTCAATAGCACCCGCACCTACCCCAAGTGAAGTGACCCCCAAGCACAAGCACAAATAGGACTTTACCCAAAGTCAACGGACTACCCCTCCGACCTCCCCACGGACAAATAGGATCGTCTCTACCCACACAAGTGCCCAAGGGTCAAGACATATTGGAGCGTTTTTAGCAAAGCGAACAAATGATACTAAATACGCGAGAGCTAGACACCTGGCTAGATTCACTATACGAAAGACCATGGCCGTAGATACCCTAAGGGGGCTCAAGGCCCCCGCGGGAGACCCATAAGGTCCTGTTGCGGCCACAACTTGGGCCACCAAACACTGAGCAAGCTCAGCGGATGAGGCGGAAGGGCAACCCCCGACACCATGGTCTTAAGTCTAGCTGCACTAACAGGGTGACTACCCTTATATGACTACTCGAATTAATATGCTCGACCCGACAAAGGAAATAGGAAAAGTAAGACAAATACAATGAAAAGTGAGAGGGAAAAAAGCGAAACGAGAAGAAAAAAATAAAGATAGAAATGAAGAAGTGAAGAAGTAGAAAAGTAAGGAATAGAATTATAAAAGTGGAGAAGAAATGGGGTAAGAGATAAATAAGAAAGTGAAGAATCGAAGATAAAGAAATAAGGAATTAATGAAGAAATAAATATAGAAGAAGAAGAAGGTTGAAAATGGATACAGAAATAAAGAAGTAAAGAAGTAGAAAAGTAAGGAATAGAGTTATAAAAATAGAGAAGAAACAAGGAAAGAGATAAGTGAGAAAGTAAAGAATGAAATATAAAGAAATAAGGAACTAAAGAAGAAATAATTAAAGAAGAAGAAGAAGGTTGCAAATGGATATAGAAATGACTACTCTTATATCACTACTTGAATTAATATGCTCGACCCGACCAAGGAAATAGGAAAAGTAAGACAAGCACAATGTAAAGAGGGAGAGAACAGAGTGAAACGAGAAGTTATGAAGGAAGATAAAATTTAAGAAGGTAAAAATTAGAAAAATAACGAATGGGGGTATAAAAGTAGAGAAGAAATAAAGAAAGAGATAAGTAGTAAAATAAGGAATGAAGGATAAAGAAATAAATATAGAAAAAGATAAAGATTGAAAATGGATATGAGGGGTGTTTTCGAGATACCAGTATAGGAGACTGGCTCGAGGAAGAATGAACGAACGAGAAGACAGAAGGGAAGATAGAAATAAAGAAGTTAAAAAGTAGAGAAGAAATAAGGAAAGACGTAAACCAGAAAGTAAAGAAGAAATAAATATAGAAATAGAAGAAAGTTGACAATGGATAGGAGAGGTAATTCCAAGAGACCAGTATAGGAGACTAGCTCGAGGAAGAATGAGCGAATGAGAAGACAGAAGGGAAGATAGAAATAAAGAAGTTAAAAAGTAGAGAAGAAATAAGGAAAGACGCAAAACAAGAAACTAAAGAAGAAATAAATATAGAAATAGAAGAAAGTTGACAATGGATAGGAGAGGTAATTCCAAGAGACCAGTATAGGAGACTAGCTCGAGGAAGAATGAGCGAATGAGAAGACAGAAGGGAAGATAGAAATAAAGAAGTTAAAAAGTAGAGAAGAAATAAGGAAAGACGCAAAACATCAAAGTTTTAAGTGTTAATATTTTACTTAATCGATTTAATTAATTATTTTAATGTCTGAAATAACATCTACTGAACAATTAATTAAAAATACTGAAAAATACGTCGATCTAGAATTAAAACGCGATCATCAGCTCGATCCAGAATCCTTTTTAATGTACATCTATGTCGACTTTATGTCCTAGGAGTCCCGGGTAGCTACGTTTGTACAATACAGAAGAATCTACCAGTTATTAATTACTTACGAAACTGATTGTCAATAAGGCAAAACTGCTTCCGTCTTATAAAAGGAAAAAGGACGTGGAAAAATGGAAGAAGAGGTAAATAAAAATTCTTGTGAAATGGGCCCCTCCCGGCCCATTGATAATGATAATGATAACGTTCATAATGCCAAGTCTTCCGCGTGAGCCATGGCGTGAGCGATGAATGTCAAAAGACGCGCGATGTTAGCAAGGTGCGGAGGTAATAATTTATCGGTGTTTGTTCACATCGATACAAGCAGCGCTCGCAGTGGCTGGGGTAATCACTAACAGATTACCCCAGCGTTTTGTGCCAAATCCTCCCATAAGGCCTACGCTTCCATGTAATATATGTTCTCTTGTTCAGTGAGTTTTTGCTGTCTGCTGTATATTTTCATATAGTCTTTCATAAGTCTTATTTATCATAAAGGTAAAAATGACTGAGGATGTTATTATAGAAGAGGAATTGTCACAGAAACACAAGAAGGAACGCAAAGAGTTGCAAGGTAACTAATTGAGGGTACATCATCTACTCTGTGTACACATAGTACTTTCTAAAATGTTACTCCTTTCATAGCTCAAATTCAGAATCTGAAGAAATCTATTTGTAAGGGTGATAAAAAAAAGAAAAAGGAGATTGCTGAAGAAATAGTTCGACTAGAATCTGATCTCGATAAAAGGCAGGAAGACGAGTTAACATGCTTCAAATTATCTCAGGCTTCGATCAAAGAGATTAAATCTCAGAATTCTGAGTTACCAAAAAAGGAAAGTGCTGATCTGGATACATACTCAGAATCTACTCAGAAACATGCAACCCAAAGAGTATCGAAAGCTCAGAAAAGGAGGGATAAGAAAGTTAATGCAGAGAAAGAACGGAACCAACAAATAATTGAACAAGAAGCACTGAATGTATTTGGAAAACGAAATGTCGAAATGCAGAGTATCAAGAAAATTCTTGTAGAACGAAATCTGATGATTTATGAAATCCCAAGTGATGGCCATTGGTACATGTTCATACTTAATAATTCTACTCCATATTGCTGTATCATTAAACATAGTATGCAATCCAAAATAAACATTTTCTTATAGCCTCTACAATGCAGTCGCACATCAGCTGAAAACGCTAGGTGAAATTCCCTTAGGATTACATGACCTCAGACTGAAAACAGCTGTATATCTCAGAGAAAATATGGATGATTTTCTGCCATTCATGTCAAATCCAGACTCAAATGATTTACTTTCTCCTGATCAGTATGAGAAATACTGCAATGATGTAGCTAATACCAGTACCTGGGGCAGTGCCATTGAGGTATTGAAAATGAATTATCTAAAAAAATAAAATCTATTAATTATATAAAATATATTTTTAGCTTCAAGTACTGTCTCGTGTACTAAAATTACCAATTGAAGTGATTCAAGCCACGGGAGCTCCATATATCATCGGTGGCGAATTTACAAATGAGAAAAAAGTAACGCTGACCTATCACCGCCATATGTACGAACTTGGAGCCCATTATAATTCCGTAACGAAATACGTGCGCGACAGTGAGAGCTAATGAAACTTTAAATCAACTAAAAATGGACATTATTAGCTATAAAGCAAAAATCTGCCAATGTATCCATGTGATTGTACTGACAGTAATGTTGATATCAATTTAATAATATTACTTTAATCTGAGTCGAATCATGAAGAAGCTGCCACTATATTAAAAAAAATATATAAAAACATGTAGAGTTAGAAATAACGATAATCATATTCGTAGTTTCTACGAGTACACGTCGTTTTGATGTAACAAAATTTTCGAAATTTCTTCTACTAAAATAAATGTATATGAATGATATTAAATACAAATATCACAACAGTTTAAGCCGTGTCGATGCAAAGTTTTTTAATTTCCATAAAATTTGTATAATTTATAACCTGCATTGCTTTTTTTTATTAATCACAAGTGTTAATAAAAATCTAGTATTATTATTATTACTATTCTTTATTGATTGGTACCACTTGTATTATCTGACATCTCTTCGTCAGGTAAATCCTTGTTCTTATTAGGATCATCAGGCTTCATTGCAGGGAACAACAAAACTTCCTAAACAAAACAGGCAAACAAATGTCAGTAAAAGTAGTGCTATCATTCACTCAATTGGTGTTACCTTTATATTATTTGAATCAGTCAAGAACATAGTGAGGCGATCAATACCAAGACCCCAACCACCAGTTGGAGGTAATCCGTACTCCAAAGCAGTACAGAAATTCTCATCAACCAATTGGGCCTCATCATCACCAGCTGCTTTATCCTTTGCCTGCTGCTCGAACCTCTGTCTCTGGACCAGAGGGTCGTTCAACTCAGTATACGCATTGCAGATTTCCTTTTTCATCACGAATAACTCAAACCTCTCCGTTAGCCCCTTCTCGGAGCGATGCCACTTAGCAAGTGGTGACATTACTTGTGGATGATCAAGTATAAACGTGGGGTTGACACACGTTTCCTCGATGAATTCACCTACCAGCTAAAAGAAAAAGATGTTATTGCAAATTTGGTGAAATTCTACGAGCAATGAAATAAATATTCTTTACTTTGTCCAGGAGTCTTGCTGTTGTTCTAGGCGGTGGACACTCCACGCCATGTGTGACACACAGATCACTTAGTGCCTTGTTAGCCTCAGCTGTATGAAACTGATCCGGAGATGGTAATTTCACTTTGAGTACATCTTCAATAGTTTTTATCATAGAAACCCTCCTAAAGGGCGGAGTGAAATCAATTTCCACGCCCTCGCCTTCCGGCCCATCTGGATGGTAGATCACTTTATAGGTACCATGTATACTCTTAACCATTCCTGCAATCATGTCCTCGGTGATGGACATCAGGTCGTTGTAATCTGCATAGGCCATGTAAAATTCACAGGTTGTAAACTCTGGATTATGGGTCATGTCGATACCCTCGTTTCGGAATTGCCGCCCTATCTCGTAAACCCGATCAATGCCGCCAACCACTAGCATCTGTAAATATGGTTTATGGTTTTTATTCCATGATGATTATGCAGATATATACTCTCAATGAATATTCTTCTTACCTTGTGATAGAGCTCCGGTGCGATTCTCATGTAGAGATCCATGTTAAGCTCATTGTGATGCGTTATGAAGGGTTTAGCTGTAGCTCCACCAGCAATCATATTCATCATTGGAGTTTCTATTTCCAGGAAACCATATTCGTCAAGGAATTTTCGGACGTAGGCTATTATCTTTGCACGTATATGGAAGATCTGTCGCACTTTGTCGTTCAATATTAAATCTAGATAACGTTGACGAAATCTGGTTTCCTATTGTAAGGATAAATAAATGCCATTAGCAATTTGTATACTTATTAAAAGCAGTAGTAACAAACAGCGATGATGATTGTACTGAGGTAAGATCTTTGCATGGGCGTACCTTGTCTTTTAGTCCATAATGAAGATGAGGTAACATGTGCAAACAGGGACTCAGAAGCTTAATACTCTTTGGCATAATAGAGAACTCTCCCTTTTTAGTTTTACCAGGATTTCCTACAATACCTATGATATCACCACGGCGGATTTTGTCAGTATCCTTAAGAAACTTCTCTTCGGATTCATAATGCTTGGCATTAGCCATCACCTGAATCTTCAAACCCTCTCCACGTAGATCGTAGAAAATGAGTTTTGCACCAGACTCCCGGATTGCATAAATTCTCCCAGCAATACTATGTGTCTCATTCTCAAGAATTTCACCTTCCTTCACTACGCCACTAAACTTCTCGATAAACCCCTCCAGAGATATGGACACATGGAACTTATGTGGATAGGGATGATCATTGGAGTCTTTAAGCTGTGCAACTGCTGCTGTTCGCAATTTGAAATATTCCTACACAGACAAAGATTATATTCCAAAGTATCTGATGAGCAAATCGTTAAGAATCTTGTAATATAAGAATGAAATAAGTACACGCGGATTGATGTCTTCCTCCTTGGGTTTCTCTTTCTTCTCCTTGGAAATGATCTCATTTTCAGCTGCTGCAGTCTTTGCCTTGGCTTCCTTCTCAGACTTCTCCTTGATCTTCTGTTCTGCCTTCAGCCGCCTCTTGAGCTCGCTGCAACCGTCGTTCCGAATTATCCTTCACTGCCTCAACTCGCACGATAAGCCAAAACGAACGTACGTACTTTAATAAAGACTGCTGTACTGAAATATGACGCAACTTTAAATGGCAAGGGAATGAAAATTCATCTAAAAATGCCGGCCGAGAAATTCGTACTAGCCTATTGGTTAAGATTCTAAGCATCGTACCAATAATTTTTTTTATCAGTGGAAGTGATAAAGGAGCTTCACGATTTCAGATTGGAGAATACATGTGATAAGTCTAGAGCGTCTTTGGAAGATTATTAATGATGTTACATCTGTCAAATAATATACCGAAATCTCACGAAAACGTGGAAAAAGCGTGGCGAACGTGTGCAACCATGCGCGATGCGGAAATCACACGAAAACTAATGTCTCTGCCTACAAATCATTTATATTACACTGTACAATTACTTGTACTAACAGAAAAATAAATCAACAGAGTCGATTGATTTTAAAATTCACTGTATTACTCACTTTTTCGACAGTTTCTCACTCGCTACCTCGGCCATGTTGGCAAGAACTTCATAAAAGAATTTGTATTACGAGGTTGGTACACTTCACACGTTTCTGTTCGAGCTTCGGAGCAGAGGTTACAATATTTAAACTGCATAGATAACAATTCTTCATTTACTTTCTAACCGGTATCTCTTGCAATCTTCTGTGTATTATATTTCACGGCATTAAACAAATAAAAATCCAGTGATCTAGAAACATTATGTGGTATAATCTGTTTCAATGAATAATGTCATTCTCTTCCACTTTGTTCAGTCGGTCGTCATGGCGACAAACTCAGTGGTTATTTTATCGATAATGCAAGTTGCTCGGTGGTCGGTAAATGAAAACTTTCTACGTTGATCATCCACAGGAAAAATATTTCAGTGCTATCTATAAAAATGGACGGATGCTTCAGCTACAAGGAGATTAAAGCATTACAAGAGTTAATCTCACCCCAGGAGGATGTGGATTCAGATACGGATGACGACGACCTACCACAGGCCGGAGTAAGAAAATTGGGTAAACTTCTTTCATTAATTTTACCAAACCTCCGAATAGCCGTCAGACACATGAACTTTCCAAAGATTAGCAGATGAATTTGAAGTTATTTTTCACTTTCCAAAGTGTTAGGTCTTCGGTCCTAAAAGTTTTCAAGTCAGGTATCCATATTCTGCCATTTCGATTTCAAATTTTCCATAAAGGACCAGCTGACATTGGTGCGCCGACGAAGGTATCGGCAGAAGAAGCTACCCAAAAGGGTCGCGTAACTCAAGTCAACACCGAGGATATTTGGCAGCTCGAGGAAATCAACAGACTGGGTCAAACGCCGGAAGTTTCGGACCCTCGTCAAGTTCCTGAGTATGAAATGAAGTTCAAACAAGCTGTGAGCACCGAGGACGTCTTCCTCGGAGTGAGTTGACTCCTTCACTCCTTTTTTTCTGTCTCATACAGCAGGTCGTTCTTTCTTTCTTCCTTTCTCTCTTTTAATATTTGCTCTTGACTCTGATCTTCTTTAGTACTATTCTTTTCTTGTATATTGACTCTGTCGACTTTTTTCATCATCTTTTCTCATGTTCTACGCGCGCCATTTCTCTACAGTTCTCTGTCTGACACGAAAGTACAATCGACTCAAATACAGAGCTTAGTGTATGTAATGATATTGGTTGAATCTTGATTTGATTCCCAGCTAATAGCATTTGCCTAACGAGGCAGCATAACAAAGTAGAATGCAACGAAAATAAAATTTAATAAAAAAAAAAGCAAATCGTAGAGAGAACAAAAATGTAATAACGCTAACAGCTAATGGAAAATCCTCGGTCGTACCACTCGCGCATATGTAACGTCTTTAATTTTCGCGGAATTCTAATAAATTTTGCATCCACTCGACACGCACTTGTTAACTCTAACAAAGCTAATTTAACCTGCTGGAATATCGGCGCTGACAAGCATCACTATACAAGTCACAGAAAAGCTAAACATTCTCAGTAATTCAGTCCAATCTATCCCGAGGAATTGTGTCTAATAAAAGTTACATTTTTCAGATGAACTACAAGACTCCCGGCAGCGCTTCTTGCGAGTGGATTACAGTTTCCATTAAGCTACCTGGAGAAACTCGGGACAAAGTTGAACTGAACGTCGAGTCAGACTCGTTAGACATCAGGAGTCCCAAGTAATGTGAACATTTTGAAAGCATTAATAACTCGCTTATACATATAATATAACGACATTCTCATAATACCAAAGACAAAAACAAAGAAATATAACTTAACATTTAGGTATCGTTTGCATCTGCTGACGCCACACGCAGTCGAGCCGAACCAATCATCCGCCAAATGGCACGTCGAATCGTCCACTTTAGAGGTTACGCTGAGGCTAACACGAGAACTAGATACCGTCAACTTTTAATATCCAGGCCATTCATTTCGATCTCATCACGTCTGGCACCATCGACACCAACTACTTGGTAATCAAGAATAATCGCTTCCAGGGACAATCACGCTAACGATCACGAGCTAGATGCTGTTAAAGGGTACAGTGCGCAAACATCGTAAACTCTTTCAGTGGTAGAGAAGTCGAGGCACAGAAGTGTGAGGCCATTAAAGACACACTGTGACGTTGCAGCTGTTGCTGCATTTAAATATTAAAGAATGCAACTCTGTCCGTTTGTATTTCTTTTTTATATTTCTTTTTATACAATGCTGATGCCAACCTGGCTGGTGACCCTCGTAATTCACTCCGGATGCGGAAAGCCACAGCCTCGTCATCGGCCTCTCGTCGATCTACGTGTGCAGCTTTAATTAAATGTGACGAGGCAACGGCTCCAGCGATTAATGATCACCCAGTACTCTACTTCCATATCGTCCACTAAACTCCAGATCTAGTGACCCACCTGAACAGGAGAATCCTAAACAATAAGAAGGCCAACGTGATAACGTCTGGCGTCGACTATCAGACAAAAGTTCTTGGAAAGGCCTGATGTCTGTCTGCTGGCACCTGCCCTATCCTTACACTCGTTGTCGCAGTACCCACAATGAAAACTAGAGCCGACAACGATGACGGAGAGTCAAGGGAAAAGGATGCTGGGACAACGAACAAGATACCATATGTGCACAGTAGCGGTACATATTAGTTGCTGGTTGGAATCCAACATTGTCACTCTTCATACGCTCTTGCACCATGTGCTATTTTCCTACATATTCTACAACGAAAACGTCCACGGTTTATGAGTCGCGTGTCACCGGGACGAGGTCGGGCCAAGCGGAACGCGAAAAATGCCACGGTAAATCAAGGAACGACGAGGAGCACGAGAGTCGTGGAATTTTAGGTTAACGAAGATGAGCAAGGATTTGTATCTACATATATACACGGATATACTAGATTACATTTCCTACAGGACGACGCCAATTGTGTCGCTTTCGCAAAATAGTCACTGCCTCGTCTATACCTTTAGATGAATAAATCCTCAATCACCGTGTTGACAAAGGATGATCTTGAAGTTTAAAATTTGTATGAATTTTCGCACCTTTCTCACTGTCCGGTAATGAGGTACCGAGTACATAACCCAAGGACATAGCTACACGCTTATTAGCTCGCCCATTGACGCCGCTTGCGAGTAAAGCCTCGGGGCATCGACTATGGAAATTTATGAGCATACAAAATCGCACGCTCTATCTGCTGCTGTTCCTGCTCCACGAGAAATCCCTTCTGAGAACGTTACGGGTTGGTCGACCTGGTGAGGTCACTCTCGCCTGACACACCCTCATCGTCATCTTTAGAATACACATGCAAATCGTAATCGTGATCCTGTCAGTTTCCTCTTGGGGCGATCAACCTCAACGCATCTCAGATCAGTTGGTACCAGTTGCCAATTGCGTTACTAGGCCGAGGTGAGTTACCTCTGATCTTTGCTTACGTACTCTTACACAATTGTCGATGCTGAAGTTCATTATTCCTATCCCGTATTTAGGACCCGGCTCAGTCCACCTCAAGGATCAATGCCAAAGATCACATCTAGCTTGTATACAGATGACTTCCTGCTGATGATATTTTGACAGGTAGCCTTATAAATTTATGAATACGTACTAATCGCATGCAATTAGAAAAAAGCAAAAGGTCAAGTAGGTTAGTGGTGACATCTGACGAGAAATTTCAGCAAGGTAACGTCAGAAGAAACGCGAATCATCCTCATCCTGATCACGAGGATGTATCAGCAGGCGTCTTCCTAGCCGCCAGCCTGAACCTTCCAGGGCGGTTCGTCTCCGTCGAGGCTGACAAATCGCTAGGCTCCCTTGGTGACATAAGATACGCATCGGTGTCGGCAGACTCGGTCGTTTCAAGGGGAAACATTGATTCATTAAACGGAACGTTGCTCGAGCATCCCAACGACGGGAGCTAGAACCCACGAGTATACCGTCTCTGTTATTCTTACGCCTATTTGTGTTCCATTTGTACTCTAACTCTTATCTCTCTTCCACCAATCTAGGAATCCTCTTCACCTTTCAAGAGGCTCAGCTATCTGAACTGATACCAATGGTTATGGAGTCTGCATGGAATTTCCTAGTTCGTGATTCTCTCTCTCCATATGTATATATAGATTCTCAGGACCCTCTTTCATTTCTCATCACAAATCAAATATGCAGATCGGGAAGTAAGTGCGTATCGCTCGGATGAGAACGACGAACTCCATGGAACTGGCATTCGCTATGTCTCTCTCGTGTTTACGAACCGTTTCGTGACCTCGCGAAGTGACTCGTTAAGTCTCGTGCACGCGAATCGCGACCAGTTCGCTGTGACGCTACGTGCCTTGCAAATTCTTCTGGTCATCTCGTACACGTAGCGTTTACATGGTCGCTGCTTTTACTCGTATGTATTTCAATTTCTTCATTCTTTTTCTCCTCTTCCATTTTCCTTACACGTGTTTACGTACCTCCTTTGAGCATCTTGAGTTTCGTCGACTCACAGTCAACTTCTTTTTCTACCAAACTGAGATTACTTCATTTCTCTTTGCTTTTGCTTTCTTTTTCTCTTGCCCTTTCCCTTTACTCTCGTCTTCTTCCTTTCTCAAGACTCACCAAACCTTCAACAATGTAAATATACTGATAATCCTTATTAGCGAGATTTCACGAGCCGGCTTTTTCTACTTGCTTACGTACTACGTTCACCAAAATGGCTACGCACCTCGTTCGATCCATCCGAATACGTTTTTTTTTTGTGTATTTTGTTTCCAAAGCTTTTCAACGTTCATTGTTCTTGCATTAGTACGTGCTTTTACACGTACACCGTACTCGACATGCATATGCCTCTGTATTCTTTTCAATTTCAGAATGCTGTACCAGATTCCAGGGAAATAACGGCAACTGTTTGGATTCCACGAGACCAACGCCACTTCCACATTTTCACGTTGATATTCCAACAGAGCTGATGGGGTTGGCGGGTCGAATCCGATAACGATTGCGAATGCGATGCACGCAGCTTGAAAATATCGCGCGAGCCCGAAGCTCCGTTATACAATCTATAGGCGTTTGTTTAACGCGAAAATTTAACCGACCACGAAAGGGCCTCACACGCAACGAAACAGAAGTCTGAAGATTGCACTGATAAAAGAAAAATAGCCGTAATTTAGGGAAAGAAAACTCGAGGATAATTTAATACTCTCAGTTGCTGCGTAACCGACCATAGAATTGATACCAGCCAAGAATCCGTTAATAAGATACAATTAAAACGAAAAAGTCTATCAATTTGCTTCTGGCTCTTGAAAATCAATAGTTTATTTCAATGACGGCCTCGTATCACGTTCAATGTACATTTCGGATTATTAAATAAGGCGTTCTCACTTGTGTGGCATGATCATCGGTTTTCCCAGAGAATTACTAGCTTTCGTGTTAAAGCAACCGATAAACTATAGTTTCCAAACTTTCCCAATATCAATCCCGTCACGGAATGAACTTTCTCGAAACATGCCGGCCGATCCAGTATCGTATAACCTGTAGACTATAGCTATGTAATTTATAAAGAGAAAATTTAAGGCTGTAAGAACGATGCAAAGTATTCTTAAATCGTTGCCACGGTATGAAAAAAAAAAAAAAATAATAGCAAAACGTGAAAAGGTGCACGGTAGTCTGCATGGGTTATCCTGCAGAGTATAAGAAAAATCATTCCTCATAATTGCCACGAATTTCAAGCTAGGCTGTACGACCCCGCAGTATCGGTCTACGGACCTACCTACTGTAGTGGGACACGTGGGCTCGTAATTTTAAAGTCTAAAAATACAAGAGGGATTGCAAACATTAAAGAAAATGTCTAAACATTAACATACCGTGCGCGCCGTACGAGTATCACGACCGTTGAGAAGCTTCAGAGGACGAGGATACGAAATGGACAAAATTATTACGAGCAGTCTTACATTTAAATTACACGTTACGTTGTGCGCGCTTAGTCTACGACCGTTGTGAATCTATTGACGAAACTAGACATAGTCGCGCCACGCGTGTAATTTCCAGATACGTACTGAGTGTGCGCAGTCGGTAAATTCGCGAGCTCCGGTACTGGCAAGTTTATTCACCGTGGGAAATGACTGTCAATAAATGTAGAGGCAAATAAATCATTAAATTCCCAATGCGTCGAGCGATTTAAAGGTAAATTGAACATTTTACATGTATACATATATACGTATGGTAGATACATGGCTGCCTGTATGTAATATCGCCACATATTATTTAATAGTCGGATAAAAAACACGGACTAAATGAGCGTAGCTGATCACGCGACATTTATTTCGTGCATTTTTATTCTCGCGTGCTTCATTTACTTGCCAATCTTTTCCTCCAAAGCCTAGACGATCTGACTGATTTGCTGGGAACGATCTAATCACAATTGTTATGAAATATAGTACAGTGTATATAAGTATATATGGAGTTAGAAACAACTGGCAGTGAATACTCTTTCCCGGAGAAGTAAAATATAAGCGCATTGCGCAGCATGACGCGCAGCCGCTATCGATACGTATTTAATATTTTATTTCTCAGTGGCAAGTCGCGTGTGCCTGACTTACTTGTAATTGAGTATTCACCTTAAGGAGGATATTATCGCCACGACGCGTATTTTTATGGAAATTATATTTGAGGAAAAAAAAAGTTTTGCCCCCAGAGAGATTTGAACTCTCGACCCCTGGTTTACAAGACCAGTGCTCTAACCCCTGAGCTATGGAGGCCCTTATGGTTCCTCGATAACAGTGGGACGTTGATAAAGTTCTATTCAGATTATGATTATATCTTATAATTAATTAATTTTTGTTCAATTGGTATAAACGTTTTCTTATCGGTTTAACTATATCTCTTTAGTATCGAAACTGATTGCGACTTATACTCTATGATTATTTCGGCGAACTTTCAAGAATCTTGTGAATTGAAACGGTTGGAACTTTCTTTTATACGAAAGGCGTGAAAAAGCACTGGTCCAGCAATGACACTCTTAATACTTAACGTGACCCAGAGCCAGAGGCTGCTTGACTTGCTGTTCCACTACCTCACCTTCCTTGACTATGAGATTTAGGTGTCGTTATGTAAAAGCACGTATTCTGTGAAATAAAAATTATTTTAAAAATATCTACTCGTAAATACAATCTAACTTATGTAAGCTATTTTATATAAACTGTCTTGTATGCTAAATACAGTACTTTTCATCAGGTCCGTACACTACGTAACTCCCACGTTAATGAGTATCCAGAGTACTCCGGTGGGTGTTTGACGAACCGAAAAAAGAAGAATATTTAGGGTTCGGCGAGGATGGAAAGTCAAATGTTTGCAGACAAATCGTCGCTCGTTTTCCACGACGGAAAAATCAACAAGCTCGTAGCAACGCCGAAAGTTGATTTGCACGTCAGTCGCAACGTGTCGTGAATAACAAGTCGTAACGACCGGAGAAGATCCTTACCTCGAGAAAGTAGCATAGTTTGAATATCCCGCCGGTAGTAGAAGAGGGCGCAGCTGTAGCTCTTCATTGGAACGACTTTATAATTGACATGGCCACCAACCTGAAACATGAACTCGGGTTATAGTCGATTCAAGTTAACTTAGGGCGACGTCGATTCGTGATAGAAATGAATGAGGAAAGAATAGGTATAGCTTGGCTTGGCTCGGTACGACAGCAAACTCCCTGGCGACCTATTGATTTCTGATTAATTTCACCCGGTTCAATTTGCCGAACAATCGTCCAATCAACGAGCTGCCTTTCTCAGTGCCTCGTATTATATTAAAGTCGACAAGAATTAAAATAAGATTAGGAATAAAGTTATTAGCTGTAAATATTTCTTCAGTCTCATGGAATAATTATTATTTAACAGAAAAAGTCCATTTCTTTTTTACAGGGATGAATTCACCAATGACCTTGGGATCACGTGGGTATAACCAGACACCCTTGTTACGGCTAATGACCACTTACGTGTGAGTCATCAAGAGGATTTTCATGTAACTTTCTTTTTTTTGGTTATAATTTTCGTCAGCCACCCCACGCCCTTTTACGTCATCATTTTGTTACATACGCCACCCCCATGTTCATTTCTAGCCCAGCCTTTCTTTTCCCTCATTCGACGCATTACCCACATTAGCTTCGGGCTTGAGTTACGATCTCGCACTGTACTCCATTACACCAGGAAGACCCGGGGCTGACACGGGACGAACTGTAATAAGGGAGTAGACGGTAAGCAGACACGCTCCAAATTGAACGGCCCTAATAACCAGTGAACTTTAACCTCACCCTTTTATTACCTTGAGAACCTTGAAGCAGCCACTTCCAGTATCGCGTCTTCCCTTGCGCTATAATATTGTTAAGGGTGGCCCGACTAGCGCGTAGAGGAAATTAAACGTAACCCCGCGATCGAAGGGTCGATTGTTCCTCTCTCCGCTGGAATAGAACAAAAAAATATATATATTTATTTTCTCAACGTCACCATGCGGACGATGGGAAACTTTTCAGGCGATTCAATTTAATCGACATGTGGGATACTGGACAAAAATTGCCTTCGGAGAGATTCGAACTCTCGACCCCTGGTTTACAAGACCAGTGCTCTAACCCCTGAGCTACGAAGGCTACGAATACTTTTTCCAAAAATTTTCCCACCACCACCAGTCTTCGTGAGCCGCTTAGATACTTTTTAAAAATGACCTTTCTATTCTTACTTGGTAACCCTTCCGCTCTGACGAACATCATCCCCATGCCTAAGTCACTCTCTCTCAACCCCCTGTTACCCAGTTCCCTATTCCCGGACTCGTAGTTGAAAATCGCAGCAGGGGTTGAAAGTCATGAAAAGTCCGCGTAAAGATGCCCGCGGAACTTGGTAACGCGCAATTTGGAGCCGACTGTGGAAGCAGTTATGATAATGTCCCAGGATCTCGACAAACACGGCACTGCGGATGGTAGTGCGGCACATACGTGAAAAGCATGGAGGGCGATTCGAACTCTCTGGAAAATCTCCATTTACCAGCCAGCCCCTAGCAGGTCTTTTCCTTATGTTCTCCAAACCTTCTTTCGCCTTCGTCTTCCATTCAATTGCCTTTCTTTCTCGTTCAAGTCTATCCCACGTAACGTTTTCGCACCCTTCCCCTATCTCCCAGCATCCCCTTGGCGCCCGACGTGTCTCGGGACGGAATAGGGGCTGCTCGGGAATTTTCGCAGGCGTTACCATCCTTAAAAGTTAATTGTGTACGGGAGTAAGGTGGTGGCAGATGCAGAGAATGTGGTGGCCCGTAGACATTTTCCTTTACTCCTCGACGAGAATTGATACTGCTGAAATCTTCCAAAGGCGAGCATCGGGGTCGGCAGAGGGATGACGACTGTGGGCCAAGCGGAAGAGGAAAGACGGACGGTGGTCTGGAAGGAGGAAAAAGAAATTAAAAAAAAAAAAAAAAATTTCGCACCCACAAATTTGAGATACCATATAAGGACTTTCTCTTGGTGAGAAGGAGAAAGGTATAGATGAGTCGTGCAGTCATCGCCACGCAGGAGCAATGGTTCTGTCAGGGACAGAACCCCTTTTGTACATTGTCACGCGGCCAAAGTTCATCTCCATGCTCGTTACGCGCAGCCTTACTTATAATCTTCCTGAAAGCAGTGAAAAAAAAAAACACGTGAAAAGTTTTCCCTTGTCATAAAGTCGATGCGATATAAGGGTGCCTATAAGCCAAGTGTCTGCCGAGGACCCACCCTCAAATGAGCCAACATACGTTAGACGGAACGCGGAATAGGCTTTGGAAAAGTTTTTATCGACGTATGAAAAAAAAAAAAAAAAAAAAAAAAAAAAAAAAAAAAAAAAAAAAAAGAAAAAACATCCACTACTCACTTCGGCACGTGTAATAGGAAATATAATAGCCACCATGTACACCAAAACTTGTATAGGAAATGTAAAAAGGAGGTTTCGTTTCCATTAAATGTCCAAGTCTAAAAGATCGTAAGGTTCTGTAGGGCCGATCACAATCGGTGTGGTGACTATGAAAAGAAATTGTTATACGGGTTTTTTGTACGTAAGCGAAACCATTTGAGATTGATAACAAGACGCAAAATTGCCCTATTATCGAAAATGGTACAAATGCTGTATGTCTGTGTGAAGGATTGAGAGCGGCCATTTTATATATTTATGATAATGATAATCAAATATCAAATAAATTTAATAACTGATAGCGATAGATGATTAGTGGGGTTTGAACGTGTTCCTTTAACTTACGACCATTCCCAGCCCCCATAGCTAAAGTATTCTGGCCTCGAGAGCGGTAAGGGGTTTACCTTATCCCAACTAAGAAAATCGACGTATAACGATAAGGTTTGTAGGGGGTTGAGCGAGTTTCAGTCGTACGTGCAAAGTCGATTATCGATGACATTCCCGAGGTTCTGAAATCGATATCTAATTACCGTTCTAACCCCCTGAGAATTTCCTTGTCTCCTCGATACCAACCCCCTACACCAACTCGACTATGAACTCTACCGGGATTAGGTTGCTGTTCCCGTATTACACGATACCCGGTATACGAGGTAGGCAGGCACCCCATGTTGTTCCTACTGGTCTTCAGTGCTGCCATCTATATACCTTCCTACCGTGTAAACAGGATCCGTCTATTATCTTAGTATGTTAAGGGATTCAAATACATAGGCTAAGGTTGATAAAGCCATCAGTGTATTGTTTATCAAGAAAACGTTAACCCCC